TAGTCTGCATAGCTGACAATTCATGAACATATGGGAGTCTTATGAGTTCCCATCTTCTGCATGAACATATATGATCTTTCAGGTTTACAACAAATTTATCAGCTTGATTTTCCAAGTGCCTTACTTCAAATATATGTTCATCAGACATCCTAAAGTAATATTAAATAAAGAGAATATATCAATCATATAATGTTTGCAAATAAGTAATATTATATGCTGATGTTACATACCTTACAAGCCAGATATTGGTGTATGTGCTTGTGACATCAATTTTCTTTCTAATATTAGTCAATATATCATTTTCACCTAAAGTACCAAATCTCATTCTGTTAGTTACCCATCTCTCTATCACGTATATTCTGATGTCTTCCAACATATTGATTAGTGGTTTTGCCCTTGCATTGACAATGACATTATTAAAGGATTCAAACATGTTGGTGAGAACAACATCACATTTGTTTGTGGTTTTAAAGTAAGATCAACTCAAAACCTTGGTGGGGTCTTCATCATGTGTTTAAATGCTTATTCATTGATGACCCTCATTTCCTTCACCTCTCTTTCCCATGTTTGTGGGTATGTTGACTTGGCAGCCTTCCTTATTATGTCCTTCAACATCTTTCCAGGAAACCTCTTCCTCAAATTGTTATAGAGATGTCTAACACAAAACCTGGGCTCCACACTTGACAATAGCTCATCCATAGTAGGTAGTAGACCCTGCAAGAAAGAAAATAATAGCATAACATAATTTGTTTACAAAAAAAAAATAGTATAACAATAATTGAATACTTGCCTTTTGTTGGTCTAAGATGAATGTGTATGTCAGGCATTGATCTTAATTGTTGACCCTGGATTGACTCTTAACAGTTCATGACAGACTCTTGTGTAATCTCCCAAAAAATAACCATCAACACAGTCTTTAGCTGCAAATCTTGCTCTTATTGCTTTGGTTTTGTTGACACAAACATTCCACTTTTTTTGTGCCTTCTCCTAGATGTCATTTATGGTTATCCTTGGATTGTTTTTCAAGATATTATGAATTCTTTTGCTTAATCACTTTGTACTCATCAAGTTCACATTATACTCCCTACTACAACTATGTTTGTCAATTACTTTCCTGAGTTTCCAAGAGTCCTTATTTGACAACTTGCTACAATAAGCTTCCCACTCACAACCAACTTTATATCTAACCCTTACTATAACTCTGTCATTTTTTACAAACCTTAGGTCTATACCATTTTGCACAACATATGATGTTATTGCTTCCTTAAACTCACCCTTTGAACTAAAAAACATTCCCACACCCCACTTGTAATCAGACATGTCCTTTGGCTGCCTGAAAATTGGATGTTTTTTTTCTTGGAACTCCTCTATTATCATCACTATCACATCCACTTTGCATGTCCTCACTGTCATTGTCACTCCCTTTATCTTCTACAGAATTTTCTTTATGTTTTTTTTCCATTACCCTCACTTTCATACCCAATTAGGTTAGCAAGTTCATCTTCCTCAATGTCATCATACCCATCAAACTCATCCTCAAAAGCCACTTCAAGAGCACTATCATAATTGTAGTTTTTATCTTCACTATCATCATAACTTAAGTCATGATTCATTACACCAACTTTACCTTGTTCAAATCCAACATTAACTTCTTCAACTCTAACATTACATTCCTCCACTGCAGGATCCAACATTAACTTCCTCAACTCCAACATTATGTTCTTCCACTGCATGATTAACTTGTTTAACTCCAACATTACCTTTCTCCAACCCAACAGTGGCTTGTTCAACTCCAACATTACCTTCCTCAAACCCAACAGTGGTTTGTTTAACTCCAACAACTTCATCGTGTAGTTTACTAAGTAACTCCTCCACCTCATCTACAATTTTAGCAGGCCCCTCATCAACATTATCAACAACAACATCACAGTAGTCAGATTGAGACAAGGTGTGTTAAATGTAAATATCAACACTTTGGTGCATCCTATAAAGATCTGCAATTTCTAAAGTACCCTTGTCATTAACAAGTGCATTCATCCTAAATTGAGGATCCTTATTGTGAGGGCAAAATTCCTTAGTTCTTGTTTTAATGATGTTAAAACTAGTATTATCTCGTACTTGTACTTTGGACGGTATCATCGCGTCTTAGATTGCATTTATTCTTTAATATGCATAAAATATTCCATGTTCATGCGACTATGCATATAAGAGCATCGCATATATGATATTTATACACTTAATCATATTGGATACCTTAGGTCAACTCAAAAATGGTTTAGGTCGACCAAAATACTCACAAAAACTTGTTTTTAGTATTCTAGAGTCCTTGCGTCGACTCACAGACATATAGAGATCAACGCACGATGTTGATTAAACAATTTATTGCTCTCGGGTCTCCATGCGTCGACCTAGAGGTTGATTCATGTTGTAGGAATAAAAATTTGCTATTGTGAGGTAACCTTGCGTCAATGCATGACCCTGTTCCGGTCGACGCATCGCTTGAAATTTTGTGTAGTTTTGGATTCTGGTGCATTTAGGTCGACCCACATAAGGCTTTGGTCGACCTCTCGTTGATGTAAATCAATTTTTCTGATCTTTTGTGTTTCAAAAAGCAGTTATGTCAGTTTTTGGGTATTGACATGATATATATTCATTTGTCTAATCATTGTACAATATAGAACAAGAAAAATGAAAGATATACACTAATTTTGCTCATCATCTTCATTCTCACACTTGCATTCTTCAACAATTACACATAATCATTTTTTTGATCTTATGCATTGTCGAGGTGATAACGTCCAAACGTAAGATTGTGTATCTAGTTTAGATTGAGAATTCAATGAGTTTTTCTTGAATAAAACCATTGGGGTTTTACCCTCAAAGATTTTGAGGATTTGAGGGTTTTTGCTTAGATATTTGCTTCACAGATTCAGCGGGTTCGTTCAAACAAGTAGCGGTAACTGGAGGATTATGTAAAAAGATTTGGGGTCGAACGTCTTGTGATAGAAATCAACTGAGCGAAAGGTTTGAAGAACGGTGAGTTCGTTCAAACAAGTAGCGGTAACTGGAGGTTTGTTCAAAGCGTTTGATGCACTTGATTCGACTTGAATCAAGGGGAGAGAAGGGAATAATATCAACTTCAATAATTAAGCTCGAGTGTGTGGTGACTATTGTTTCTCTTGTATAAACTTTGCAACTTGATAATAAATATCTCAATTCTAGTTTTAGAATTGGGGGCAGACGTATCCGAAGTGAGGACGAAAAGGGAAACTGCCTAAACAAATCTGGCGTCGCTCTCTCTTACTTTATCTCTTTATTTTGTATTGATTACATTTGTTTGATATCAATTGTTCGATAAATTTTCATTGTTGTGTAGTGCTGAAAATCTGTTTTGAAAATTCATTACAATTACTTGGATTGTAATAGTGAAAAATTCTGCACTATCATTTCATTGGAAATTCAACTTGGGGTGTTTTGCACACCAAGTGTTCGACGCATTGATCACACACAAATTGTTTGTGAATTTGTCAAGTTAATTGTTACATTTTATAGTTCATTGAAATCCGGTTGATACAAAGTGATCATTGTTTGTATTGATTTATTGGCAACATTTTGACTCATTTTCTCATTGAATTTAGTCCATTTGGCTAAGCAAATTCGATCTTACCAATAACGGTTCATTTAGACGATTAAAATCCACGGCCGTTTCCGCACGTTTTTGAAACAATTTTTTAAGCGTTGACTTTTGTTAAAAATTAGTGATCTATTCAACCCCCCATTCTAGATCATTGCTATCGTCTAACACTTGTAATATATTGTCTCAAACTCCCTATAACCCAAGTCTTTCAATATACCAACTAGTTCAAAATAACTCTATTTGTCGACATCTACCCTCAAATCATCTACTACTCCATCTTCATATACACTAAGTCCTTCATCGATGAATTCACCATTGTGATGAATTTTGAGATTTATGTATTCATCCATTATACCTATTCATATAACCTAAATAATTAGAGTTTACATTAAAACAATTACATTAACCCTAAAACTAAACAAAACCACATATTACTCTAACACATTCGTAAACCCTAAATCAGATTGAAATTTACTAACCTTTTGATAAACACGTTTTTGAATCGTTTTCAATCCGTCGCGTCGTTGATGAAACAACCCTATGCGCCTTCAATCTGTCACACCTTCATTGAGATTTGTCCCTTCAATTCGTCATCGTAGCAGCAAGATCCTATCTTCGTCGTTTGAGTGTCTGAGTTATTGAAGACAAGAATACACTTGAATTTGTATTAATACATGTTATATCCACGTCAACAACATAAAAGCCACCTGAACAAACGTGACACTAATTTGCTAGTTTTAACTAACAACAACAAACAGATCAATAAACGTGACACCGTTTTAAAAGTTAAATGACCAACTTACTACTTTTTAAAATTAAGGAATCAAACTGGATCTGACTGGATCTAATGACCATTATTTTTATAATAAGTGGTTAAATTTACCAACTAATATACATTTGTGATAGAAAAAAGCAAATTGATTTATTTATTTATTTCTCTAACAATTAAAAACCCTAGGACAACAAAACTCAGCAGAACGACAGCTTGGAGTCGCACTGAACTCAGCTTAGCCGTAAGAAAGCAAAATCTCACCGGAGGTAGTCTATCATCAGAACCGCAAGAAAGTCTTCCAGGTTTTCTAAACATTTTTATCAATTTTCTTTCTGATTTTTCTTCTCTCTCGTGGTACGCGCGAGGATCCAATTCCACCGCGCGCGATTTTCGGCTACCGCCAAAGGCAACCGTACCAGAGTATTGCGTCGCACTGGAGCTTCACTAGACATCACGATTCCGCGATTGTGTGTTCAATCGGTGCAATCGATAACATATTTTACTTCATGGAAAAGAGCGCATACGAATATGATTTAGGTTTGTATGTGATAGCTTACTTTGTATTTTGATCAAACTCACAGGTTTTCATTCATGGCGGAGGAGAATTCGCATTCAGATGTATTGTCAGAAGAAAATGGAGCTAAAGAGGTTCCAAGTCATGTAGAAGGAATTGCTGAGCTTTCTTTGTCACCGCAGAAAGAAGAAGATGACGGTAAAGGTAATAATTATGCTATTTCATGAATTGTATAGCTTAATTAATGGAGTCTATTAGTATAATATTTGTAGAACCGACACCTCTGAAAAAAGGTGTGTCCGAGTTGGTGTCTGAGTCCAAAGCCGACACCGGCACTTGTGATATTGTTTAATTTGTTAATTTTTTTAATTATTACCGGCGTCATGGGTCGGTCTGTGTCTGGTCTCCGTGCTATATGTGCCAATGAATTCTCCTGAAATGAATATTACTAAATTTCAATTGGACACGCTGATAATTGTGAGCACATAATTATTGTACAGAAGAAATAAACCCGGCCTTGATGCTTTATTCATTTCCTATGTCAGTATATTCATTTCTATCTAATGGTTCCGTTTCTCATACTTTTGGTTGATTTGAACTGTAAAATTCAACATTAGGAATATTCTATTTTTCCTGGAAAATATAAATGCATTTGTCTGCTGTATTAGGATATATTCTTCCCAGTTCATCACAAACTGATAAATGTCAATGGACTTTATGACAAGTGCAATTAACAACTCTGTTTCTGGATGATCATTGACATTGTGCTGTGAATTTATAACATAAAGGACATAATGTTTTTATACACATAAAATTAAGAAAATACAGTAAATAGTAATAGTAATATAACCCTAATACACTTCACGTAGTTTGACACATTTTTATCCCATCTCATAAAATATTAGGATAAAGTTTTATCTGTAGGAACTTTGAATGAACATCTTATTTGAGTGAACTTATTATAAACACATTTCTCTTGCGACTTATGGAAGCAAGTGGGGCTTCAAAGTTTCAAATACATACCACAACTTGTATCTCATTCACTTTTCTCCGTAGGTTTTCCATCACGATGCTAACAAATTGAAATACCTGTATCATTACATACTTAGCTAACTTCCATTTAAATGTTCGGGGCTGGAGCTAATAAATTACATTATGATATATTTGTGTGTCTAAAGGGAACAAATATATAGTTGGTTTAATCTTGAGGCATATTACTAGGGTTGGGTGAGATTCATTAAGTTGCACAACGCTAATGTTTTGTGTGTACCCTATTATTCCGACACATTCATGCTAGCTATTAGGGGTAGCAGAATTCTAATATAAAAGATTTGAATGGGTGAAATCCTATTCTGGCCTCATTTAAAGACAGTCTGCCAGGTTATCTAGAGAGGCCAACTATTCCCGAGCAAGCATTTGAATATGCGGTTCTTCTAAACTTGCAGTACCACTGCCAACAAAGGTAAGCAAAAAGTTGTCACCTTCATCAGAAAGATGCAGTGAAGTGACTTCTGCTACTCCTAATTTCTTGTAAACAGAAAATTCCAATAATTCCATAAAGGGTTATTTCACTTTCTTTATGAAGTTATTGATATTGATACAAAAAAGACACAATAAGATTCCCGATAAGAAATGACAGAGAGGATGTAGCGGTCAAAACACATATTACACTATATAGAAAGAGATGACGCCTTGCAAAAATTATGAGCAACAAAAAAATCATCGCTCTCACTATAATGATGAACAATGATGGATAGACCTGCTTAGTGTTTCAAAGGAAAACAAAAAAAGTTCCATGTAGGATAAATAACAAATGTGAAGAAGGAAGATCCAGAAAAACACAAGTACGGCCCTTGGTTGAGCACTTGAGAGTCAAGCAATGAAGCGAACTGAGATGAAGTGTGAAGTGTCCGAACAAATAAAAAAATTGAATTTGATTAAATGTCATTATGTTGACAACAAGGCTATATCATCTTAATCCTTTCCATTTTAATTAGAAAGTTGTGTTTTTTTGGTTCAGATTTGAAAATACTTTCTATAACCAAACTGAACATATTTTGAACACATTTTCTCTACCATTTTCTATTTTCATTTTCAATGAAAATAAAAACATAAAATGAGCAAATCAAACAGGTCCTTAGTAAGGAACAGTTAGAACAGTCAGCTAGGTAGTTTAAGGAAATTAGTTTGATAGATAAATATATGTAAGGGGTAGGTGTGTCGTGCAAATTTTTAGTTTTAGGTAAAGAGAGCTGTGGCTCTAAGGGAAGCTCTTGAAGGAGAATGCTTTCTCCTCTTCTAAGTCTATAATAGATTGTCCACTTGTTTATTTCTTTCTATTTCACATTTTTTTCTCCCCTGGTTTTTATTTTGATTGCTTTTCTCTTCTCTATCAAAAGCAAGTCACTCTAGATATGATACTCCATTACTGTGTAAGTAATATTTTGATTAGTTGTATATATTAATAACCATGTTTCTTCATTGTTAAAACTAAAACCGCATGCTACTTCCTAAGAAGATTATCTGAACTCTGAACATGAAAAAATAGGATACCTAATAATTGACCATGTCATATGGCATGAGCATTTCTCTAGTAAGAAACTCAAAATTACGCTGAGTGATGCAGTTATTATATTAGTCTGTGAAGTAGTGATGTTTTATTTTTGAACTATTTACACTGGGTATGTAATATAATACCATGTACTTGTCATATTATTGATCTCAATTTAAATGCATTTTTCTCTTCTAACAGAAGTTACAAAGAAGAAAAAGAAGAAATCTAAAAGCAAGTGAGGGCTTCTTCTGCCTTTAATGATTATTCTCCAAATAGTGCATTTTAACCGAAGTTCTCATTTTATCCTTATGTGGTCAGGAAAAAGAAAGGACCCATTGAGCAAACAGATCCACCATCAATTCCTCTTCTTGATCTTTACCCTTCTGGAGATTTCCCTGAAGGTGAAATTCAGCAGTACAAAGACGAGTAAGTTGATGATATATAAATTTAAGCAATATATGACATTTTCATGAAAAATTGGTTTGAGTTTCCATTTGAGTGAAATGAATTCTGTTTCCCTGTTTTAAATGTCTTTGATTATTTTAGTATCAGTAACAGAGGATGTTCATTGACTAACCAAAGCTTTTCTGTTTAAAAAACCCAAAATTTAGAGTGACTAAAAAAATGTTATTTGTATATATGGGAACTGTTGAGGGTCCCACGATGGATTGTGATATCATCCGAATAGTGGTTATAATAAGTGAAAGGCAACCCTCACCTTATAAGTCAGTTTTGTAGGGTTGAATTATTTTCAACTCTCACATTATCAATTTGTTGTTGGGCCATCTAGGTCATGTTCAAGATGTCCGGTCTTGGACACATGGAGTGTGTTTTGAGTCCTGCATTGGATAGTGGTGTGGTATGAATAGTGGTCATAAGCGAAAGGCATCTCTCATTCTACAAGCTGATTTTGCGGGGTTGAATGAAGCCCAACCCAAATTCTAATAGAGACCCAAATGCATTCAAGCTCAAGTATTCGTGTACTTCAGCTTTTTTAATTGTTCCTGTTTGCTATCTTCACCTCAGCAGCTAATCTGCTGCTGTAGTGTTTTTAGACATGGCTATTCCACACTTCATTCTATGATCAATGAGCTCTCACTGAAATGATGTTGCACCCCAAGACTTTATGGTTCCAAAGCTTGTGTCATTAGGTTTTTGAAAATTGAAATAAAGACTGAATTCCTTATGTTTAAGAAGCTTGCAGAGAATAAAAAATAGTAAAGAAGGTTTTAAAATCTATTTAGACTTACCTCAAAATTTTCACGAAATTTTTGCACCATTAACATGTTGGTGGATTTACTTGCCAAACCAAGAAGTGCATTGCTTAAACACTTCCTGGGGTGAATAGCATTTACAACTACTTGGGTTTCATGTTCCTGCCACAGTATATATTTGTTTTTCTTTTCCCATACTCATTTTGTTTCCATATTCTGTTTGAACTTTCAAAATCTTTATATTTATGTTGGAATTTCTATGCTAGTAACTTGTGGAGAACAACATCAGAGGAGAAGAGAGAGCTGGAGCGCCTTCAGAAACCAATATATAATTCAGTCCGTCGAGCAGCTGAAGTTCATCGTCAGGTTGCAATTTCGATTGTTATATTCCAGCATTTGCTGTGTGTTTTGATGAGTAGTTTTCGGAAAAAAAGCCTGGACAGCATTGACTGTTCATTGTTTGGATAGGGAAGAGGAAATGAAGAGGGAAAAGCGGATGGAAAGTTAATATGGATCTATTTGACCCCATGTCTTTAATTCCTCCCGAAGTCAGGGAGAACATCTGAGAAAATTTATTTTGAAATGTCTGAGAAGAAAGCTGGGTTCAATGTAAATAAATCAAATCACCACATTTACAAAGTTCTTGAAAGATCTGCATTTACATACCCCACTTCATTACATTTCAACCAAGAAAATACTATTTTATTTTCTTGTCTAATAGTTTTCTTTTTGATGTGGTTTATTTTCTTTTAACTCTAGTGAAGAGTTGATAGGAAGTACATTTGTTCCATGATAAATCATGGTGTTATATCAGTAACTTCATATATATACTCAAGTTTCTTTGTCTCTGAGTAGGTTCGGAAGTATATGAAAAGCATTATAAAGCCTGGAATGTTGATGATCGACTTGTGTGAAACATTAGAGAACACCGTTCGTAAGCTAATATCTGAGGATGGCCTGCAAGCAGGCATTGCTTTCCCCACAGGATGCTCTTTGAATTGGTAAAACTTTAATTTTCCGATCTCTATCTGTCATTCTTTATGGTTTCTCGCGTTATCGTACTGAATGTTGGGTGATAAAGGATCAACAAGAGCTCAAGATAGGTAGTGCAAAGATGAGACTTCTGTTTTTTGATGGATGGTCATAGCAGATAAGATTATAAATGAATGTATTAGAGAGAAAGTAGGTAGAACTTAGGAGTGACACTTGAATAAAAAAAAGGTTGACGTTTATCAGAAGTGGTTTGGAGTTGTGAGAAGAATAGTGGAAGCTCCTATTTTGAGAGTTGATTTTTATTTGTTAACTAATAATAGAAGTATATGAAGACCAAGAAGATGATGGAGTGAAACTGTTAAAAAGGATTCATATTTTTTAAACAGCCTCTGCAATGAATTGGTTTTATCTGAATGATGCTTGATCAATGTAGTCAACTTCACCTAGTAGAAAATAACTGGTTTGTATTATTTTGTGGTTTCTTTCCAGAATTTTGTTAAATGGAATTATTTGCTCTCCAGGGTTGCTGCTCACTGGACTCCCAATTCGGGAGATAAGACTGTTCTTCAGTATGATGATGTGATGAAGTTGGATTTTGGCACCCATGTAGATGGTAATACACAAGGAATATTTTCCTGGACTTGTATTTCTTGGAAAATGCCGCTCATAATCTAAAATTACTTTATTCAACTTATTGTCATGAACTTTCTTTGTAGGACATATTGTTGATTGTGCTTTTACTGTGGCGTTCAACCCGATGTTTGATCCACTGCTTGAAGCCTCTAGGGAAGCAACCTATACGGGTATTAAGGTACTTAATAGAAAAATACTCAACAGTGTGTGTGGCTGGCTGGTCTTCACTTATGTCAAAAGAAGAGCATTATATCATGTAGATGAGATTGCTTTTCTAATAATAACTTAATAAGTCAAAGTGCTTAACCCAAATACTAGCTGCTGAAACAATGTTACCCCGTCTATACATATGTCTAAAGCAAGAAATACCAAGATTAATTTAAATTCTGGTCATCAATGAAGCAGACACAATATTGGTATACATCAGATATTGAAAAGTACAGGGAACAATACGTTTAAGATTTATAAAATTAGTCACTAGTTAAATTATTGTTTAACAAAAACCAAACTCAAAACACAAGTTTTAACACATTTACTAAATACTTGTAAACCTAAACTAATAAATTGGAATAGTATTAAAGTTGTCTTCTCCTTCACCATCATCATCAGTAAATAGAGCGGCTTTCAAATTTGTAACCCACTAATCAGAGAAATTGAATTTGCAACAATTGGTAACTGGTAAAGGAATTATGGGAAAAAGAAACCAATCTTAGAAAATGGTAACTGTGAGAATATTAAATGGGTGTATCACAAATCACAAAGGAGAGAGAAGATGCAATTAAAGTTGAGAGAATAGTAATTAAGGAGGGGAAATTTTGATTTGTTGAGAGTTCTACATTGGATAATATATGGCCTGGACATGTTCTTATAAGTGGGGTCAATACTCACCCTACAAGTCGGTTTTGTAGGAATGAGTTAGGTCCAACCACATTTTTTAACATGGTATCAGAGCCTGGTTTAAGATCCGGTGGGCTACCTGTTATCAAGTTTCCGCTATCGGGCACCCACCATTTATTTCCACACTCCAGATGTTCCCTCTTGGATGTGAGGGGGTATGTTAAGAGTACCACATCGGATAATATATGTTCTGAACATATCCTTGTAAGTGGGGGCAATCCTCACCTCACAAGCCGGTTTTGTAGGGTTGAGTTAGGGTTAACCACATTTCTTAACATGATTGATGTACTTGAAAAATGAACAGTCATAAGATATACTACCAGAGTCTCCGCCGTATCAGAATTTTTTGTTTTAAATATAAATTTGGATACTCCTTCAATATACTCATTGACGACGTATTGCAGCATACATGGTGCAATTCAGCCGAGATTTTAGCGCATCCGTGCTTCATTGCTGGCCGTGTTTAGGTGCCATGACTTAATTTGTATGTGAGTTGTGGCCCAATTAACAAACAATTTCAGTCACTCTTAATATAATTCTCACTCTCAATGGCAGCGTGGATTTGCAAATTAAATTGATCATGAACTTGAGTTTATCAAGCAGTGCACAGAGTGTGTGTAGATAGATCCTTAAAGTATCCACATAGTAATCTTGGAAAGGAAAGTGGCAGACTGTGTGACTCTAGTTAATGACCTTTATCTTTTACTAAGATTGCATCGAACTCTGTATGCGTAGTACCGGAATGAAGAATCAGATTGTGTGTGTGAAACAATGCAAAAGGCTGTTGTTACAATAGATGATGCAGATGAGAGCCAGTACCTTTGATTCCTTGAGGTAGAGTTTGAATCCACAATAACTCTTGCAACGTGTGTTTCCTAAGTATTTGGCTTCAGTGCTGGATTTGGAACCACCAGAAAATGTCAATGGATCAGAGGTAGACAAGTCTTTAGAATTTCAGGCGTAGTAGCATCACTATTTTAAGGAAAATGCTAAAGGGAATTGGCAGATTTCAGAAGCAAGCCATGTTGGATTTGCCCTTGAGGTACTAGGGTATACATCCGATGGTCCTCAAGAGGTTAGGGGAGAAATTGACTTATTTTTCCCCCATGTTTCTCAATGTTGAGCTCCCAAATTGGTGATATAGGCTTAGGCAATTCTTAACAATTTCCTATAAAGCTCGGGTAATTCTCACCCCTTGAGCTAGTTTTTTGGGTTGAGTTAGGTCAAGTCCAACTCCTAATTTGGTATTAGAGCACGTGCAAGGTCTGTTAGTGAGCCACCTGTGTCCATAGTCTAGATGTTAAGTTTATGCGTATGAAAGGTATGTTGAGATCCTATATTGACTTGATATTGAGTTGGGCCTGAAACCAAAGTCTAATACTGGTATGATGTAATAATTTTTGGGAGTATGGTGTATGGCGTTTCTAGCTGATTTCCTTACAGTAGAATATTGCATCTTTAAGGGTATGTATTTGTCCTTAAAATAACGGTGGGATAAATAATATATTGCATCTTTAAGAGTATGTATTTGTCCATTTCTGATATACTTGGAGTTTGGGCAGCTATACAAAATTGTTCAGGGAACTAGTAGAACGAGTGTCTTTTTGACACTGTACATATATAAATGGCACATGTTTCATATTTTGCTGTTTGTATGGTATCATTTACATCTACATCTCTATGTTTTTTACTCAACTGCACTTACCTGTTTATGACTTTATTTACGTGTGTGTACTCAAAAGTTTTATTGATGTGATGATAATGAACAGACAGATTTTCTGTTTGAATGTGTGGTGTTATTTTGGTTTTTGCACCGATTAGACCATATTGTGTAATATGTTTGTTCCTCCAACATGATCTAGGAAGCTGGAATTGATGTGCGCCTTTGTGATATTGGTGCTGCAATTCAAGAGGTCATGGAGTCATATGAGGTTGAGATTAATGGGAAGATGTATCAAGGTATGATGCTTTTAGGACATTTGTTGTCTTCATTTTATTTGGTTTGCACGTTTCCTCGTGTATATTCTATAATGATCAAATACAAGATTTACATTTCTTTATCATCAAATGAAATGGGGAATTTCAAATACAGACACATCACATCTAGTGAGGGTTCATGTTGGATCTTCCTTGGCATTTGTTGATATGGTTGGTACCATTGATACACACTGCGATTTCCCATATAAATAGAAAATAAATAGTTGAAAAGATAAAAAGAATATAGTGGAGTATATGTTACTTGATATTTTGTGTGTCTTAATAATCCCGCTGCAACTACGGTTAGGATCCTCTGCAACTAGAACTAACATAAGTTAGTTACCTCAGTTGTCTATTAACAGAATAGGAATAAAGCTTAAACTGAAACCCTTATTGGCATCTAATTTTTTTATCCTCCCCTGCCTCAACATGCCACCGGTACACCTCCAATCAATGTTTCACCATTGAACCATCACCCAGGTGATTCTGCATTTGGATTAGTAAGTTTTTCAGCTCCATCAGTATTATTCCCACATGTAATTGTAATGTCATTTGGTTATTTGGTTGAACCAGTGATCAAATCTCATCTCTACAATTATCATTCCAATCCAGTAGTTTTTCCTAACTTTCTTATGGTTGAGGATCAAGAGGCTGGATGAATTTCAAAGTCCTACTGTTTATGGGAACAAGATCAATTTCTCATTTCCCAGTTAAAGACGATTTCAAGCTCTATGGTTCGAAGATTTATTGGATATTTAAGTTCTTGTAAGTTTTAGGATAAGATTCTCGAAGGCTTAACAAGTATTAAACTAAAACTATATTCCGTAAACTAATTATACAAGGGCAATTCAATTGCATTGCTCTATGACAGCAAGCTCATTTTCTAAAACTTCCTACTTTGTGGTATAAAAGTAACCAGGAAAAATAGAGGGGAGAGCAATTATAACTGTGAAAGTGTTAGTTGGATGGGAATTAAAGTATTTTGAAATTGACTTATTTGAGCTTATGACATGTTCATAAACTGTTTTCTGCTTATTTCCATTAGCTCTCTAGAATAGCTTATGAAAACAACTCTGGATTATACAAGAACAGTTTAACTTTATTCTATCTTGTTCATAGAAATAGCTTATTCACATGTGTTTATATGAGCAGCGTTTACCTGTATTGTGTCATATAGAGTATGATGTATAATGCAATCATATTGTCATTGCAGTTAAGAGTATACGGAATTTGAATGGACATAGCATTGGCAGCTATCAAATTCATGCTGGTAAATCCGTTCCCATTGTGAAAGGTGGAGAGCAGACAAAGATGGAAGAGGGAGAATTTTATGCTATTGAAACCTTTGGGTCAACTGGTAATTGTAGCTTCTTCAGGTGTTGGACATTGTTGTATTGAATTTAATAATACACAACTAAAATGTTCACTTAATTGTTATTTTCAGGGAAAGGATATGTACGAGAAGACCTGGAATGCAGCCACTATATGAAAAACTTTGATGTTGGTCATATGCCGCTGAGATTGCCTAGAGCTAAGCAACTTTTAGCAACTATCAACAAGAACTTCTCCACTTTGGCCTTCTGTAGACGATATTTAGATCGCCTAGGAGAGACTAAATACTTAATGGCATTGAAGAACTTGTGTGACGCTGGCATTGTTCAGGTACATTACGGGAGCTACAATCAATAAATTTATGGTTAAAGTTATTTTTTATTAAAATTACATGTTGTAATGGTTGCAATCAGAAGGAAATCATCTGTAATCTCTCTTATGAAGCCTTAGCGTGTTTGTTATTGATAGCTTTTACGGCTTTGCTGCCATATCCCTTGGCAGGTTACATGTCAATGAAAATATGTAGATCTGTTCAAATTATGATTACCAATGACTAATTTTTCCTTCCTTACACGCAGCCTTATCCTCCTCTATGTGACGTGAAAGGAAGCTATGTATCACAGTTTGAACATACAATCCTACTCCGACCAACATGCAAAGAAGTTATATCAAAGGGTGACGATTATTAATGCAACCTTTAAGTGGTTTTTGCTTAGACACAATGTTGTACCTTTTTCTTATAAACTGTTGTTCACCATATCATCCAACACTTGGGTTTTGTAACTGAAGGTCTCCGTCTTATAGAGTTTTACAGTACTTATTTTGTCAACCGTGACATTACTAGTTTAAGATGTTCACCAACAAAACCATGTTATTAACGCTATATCCAATTTATAGAACATTTTGCTGTCAATCTGGTTTGCTCCCACAAGAATGCTATCATGCGGTGTCTAAATTGAGGCAACCATTTAAGTTAGGGATGTTAACTTTCCTGCAGGGATTGTCTTATTTGGGCATTGTGTGGGAAATATATTCCCTGTGGGCCCCTCTCCCAAATTATTACGAAAAATACCTTTATTGTGTAGTGATGTTTTAGAAGCCCATAAAGGTCCATTTACAGGCCAGGGTCATAAAGGGCTATATGAGATCCTAACAACGTCATGGCATGCTCAATTATCTATTAACCTAGCTATGTTAGGCTCTTTGACCATTATTGTAGCTCACCATATGTATGCTATGCCTCCTTATCCATACCTAGCTACTGATTATGGTACACAACTGTCATTGTTCACACATCACATGTGGATTGGGGGCTTTCTCATAGTTGGTGCTGCTGCACATGCAGCCATTTTTATGGTAAGAGACTATGATCCAACTACTCGATACAACGATCTATTAGATCGTGTTCTTAGACATCGTGATGCAATCATATCACATCTCAACTGGGTGTGTATATTTTTAGGTTTTCACAGTTTTGGGTTGTATATTCATAATGATACCATGAGTGCTTTAGGGCGCCCTCAAGATATGTTTTCAGATACCGCTATACAATTACAACCTGTCTTTGCTCAATGGATACAAAATACCCATGCTTTAGCACCTGGCACAACAGCCCCTGGTGCAACAACAAGCACCAGTTTGACTTGGGGCGGTGGTGATTTAGTGGCAGTGGGCGGCAAAGTAGCTTTGTTACCTATTCCATTAGGAACCGCAGATTTTTTGGTACATCATATTCATGCATTTACAATTCATGTGACGGTATTGATACTCCTAAAAGGTGTTCTATTTGCTCGTAGCTCACGCTTGATACCGGATAAAGCAATCCGTCTTATAGAGTTTTACAGTACTTATTTTGTCAACCGTGACATTACTAGTTTAAGATGTTCACCAACAAAACCATGTTATTAACGCTATATCCAATTTATAGAACATTTTGCTGTCAATCTGGTTTGCTCCCACAAGAATGCTATCATGCGGTGTCTAAATTGAGGCAACCATTTAAGTTAGGGATGTTAACTTTCCTGCAGGGATTGTCTTATTTGGGCATTGTGTGGGAAATATATTCCCTGTGGGCCCCTCTCCCAAATTATTACGAAAAATACCTTTATTGTGTAGTGATGTTGATTTGTTTCATGTCACTTTTGTGTGAAATATGGATGACAATAATGCAACATTCAGATCCATAATCATGGATTAGAGATTTAGGTGCTTTTTTTAAAAATGATTTTTATATTTTTAGATAATTTTATTTGAATTTTTTTGTCTTAAATGCATTTTTGGTCCTCCTAATTTGAAGTTTTTAAAAATTTTGTCTTCTTATTTTAAAAATTAATTTTTTTGTTCCTAAAGTTTACCTCACTTGAGATTTCTATGGTCCCCTCACACTTTTGATTACATGACAGTGTGATTAATGATGTGGCAACGCTACTGTGGATCTATGTCACGTTTTTTGATTATTTAATTAATTTGAGCTTAAAATTTATTTTTTAAATAATTTAAAAATTGTTATTCATATTAAAATAGTTTTAAATATTATAAAATCTTAATGTTTCATTCATCAGAAGCACCAAATTTCACTTGAACCCTAGATTCACTTAAATAAATTCTACACATGAAGAACCCATTGTCTCGCTGAAGAAGAACCATAGATCCATTCAAACCAATTTCACTCGCGAAGTTTTTTTGGGATTTGCGAAGATGACTAGTGGACAAGTTAGATTTTGTTTAAGGTATGTTTTCTTGTTTCTTTTGGAGTGTCAACATGTGCCATGTTCTGTTTGTCGTTTATTTCGTGTGGTTTACCATGTTTGTTTAATGTTTCGCCATGGTCCCATGTTTGTAAATGATTTACATGTATATTCTTTTGATGTTGTGGTCTACCATGTTTGTTTATTGCTTTGCTGTGGTCCCATTGAATGTTAACTTATTCTTATGCTATTTCAAATGTATGCATAAACTTTCAGGTCAAGTCAGAGTATTAAGATTAAGTTAAGAATACACCATAATGGTATGTTGGTGGAGAGGTAAATGAGATGAATTAGGGATAGGATGTGGATTTCATGTCATATATGGATGCAGAGAGATTGATTAAAAGTGACGGTTATGTAGACATAAAATATTTGTGGTATTAGAACCCTGTCTTCAGCTTTGCACGTGGTCTTAGGCCATTGAATGATAAGGATGTGTTGGAGTTTGCCAAAGATGTTGTAGGACACGAGGTTATGGATTTATATGTGGAGCACAAAGTATCTGACCCCCCCGAGGTTGTGGATCCAAGTGAAATATAAAACTACATTGATGAGGATGAGGTACAATGTACTGGTTTTAGTCAGCCGAATGTTAGTAAGGGTAATTCTAGTAAGGGTAATGCTAGTGAGCATAATGATAGTGAGCCTAATGTTAGTGACAATGAGCCTAATGTAGAAGGAAATGAGACTAATGCTAATGATAATGAGTCTAATGTTGAAGTCAATGAGCCTAATGTTGAAGTCAATGAGTCTAAGGAACAAGGTGAGTTGAATGATGATGATTATGTTGCAAGTGACTTTAGTGAGTATAGCGATGATGAAATTGATGGAGGCAGTGAAGATTTTGATGAGATGAATTGGACTAAAGTGCTACCTCCAGAAATCTTAGGTGAGGAAAGTGGAAGCAAATGGCTAGCTGATATGCAACATGAGGACTGTGAGGATTCTGATCATTTATACACACCCCCTGGTAGTGAGGATGATGAAGATGTAGTGAAGTTTCCAACTTACAAGAGTGGTGAGGGAAGTGGGTTTTAATTGGGAATGATGTTTACGATGATAGGAGATGCTATCAAAGAGTATAGAATGGAAAATCAGAAAAATGTGTTCATCAAGAAGAATGATGCAAAAAGGATTGTAATTAGGTGTGTGGCTGGTTGTAAGTTCTACCTAAAGATTAGTAAAAAAAAAGGGCAACAATATTGACAAATTGTTAGTTATGTTGATGACCATACATGTCACAAGACTGCACATAATAGGAATTTTAAGACCACTTAACTTGCTAAAATTTTGCAAATGTCTTAAGGCATAACCCTTATATTAAGCCAACATGTCTCATGGTTGAATCCCTTGAGAGGTGGGGAGTGAAGTTTCATAAGATCAAGCATATAGAGCAAAGAGGAAGGCCATAAATTTGATTTAAGGAGCATGCTTTGATCAATTTAACCATTTGAGTTATGTTGAAGAGTTGTTAAAGTCATATTCTAGGAGCACTGTGTATATACAATGTGCTGAGAGCAAAGGGAACCATATATTTGAAAGGATTTATATATACTTAGAGGCTTGCAACACGAGCTTTGTCAAGATCTGTAGGCCACTCATTGGATTGGATGCTTGCTTAGTGAAGGGGAGTATGGTGAACAATTAATATTTGCAGTAGGCAGGGATGGTAACAACCAAATATTTCCAATTGCATATGCAGTGGTTGAAGCAGAGACCAAAGATTCATGGGAATGGTTTTTACAACTGTTATTGAAAGATTTAAGTGCATTCAATCAAAGAGCATATGGCTTTATTTCTGACCAACAGAAGGTATATTGTATTATGTCATTTTCTTTGCCTTTTTATGTCATGTACAATATCTTATGTCATCTTGTGTCTTTTTCTATGCATTCTTATATGTGACAAGGGTTGGTTCCTACATTTCAAGGCATTAGTACCCATGTGGAGTAGAGACTTTGTGTTAAGCATTTATATGGTAATTGGAAGAAGAAATACCATGGTTTGGAGTTAACATAGGTGACGTGGACAACAACTAGGGCAACTACCATACCAATGTGGGAAATGGCAATGCAGAAAATGAAAGAAATTAATGAAAGTGCATGAAAGGACATGATGAATACCCCTGCACATCTTTGGACATGTATCACATTTTAAGACATATACAAGGTGTGATACGCAAGTAAATAACATGTATGAGGCTTTTAACATGACAATATTGGAAAATGGAGACAAGCCAACAATCACTTTATTGAAGGAATCAAACATTATGTAACAAAGAGGATCACAAAACAAAAGAAGTTGTTGCAAGGGTATGAGGGAGTTATATGTCCTAAAATCTAGCTTGTAATTGAGAAGAATAAAAAACATGCACATGGGTGGACTCCAACATGGCATGGAGATGATGATTTATCTCTTTTTGGTGTGACCAATGCGATTGAGACCTATTGTGTCAATCTTAAAAATGAAACATGCTCATGTAGAAAGTGAGATTTGTCTAGGATGCCCTGCTGTCATGTAATCACATGCATTTGAAACATCACAAAACAACCTGAAAGTTATGTGGCTGAGTATTAAAGGTATAATTAACATGTATTTTTTTTAATTCTTTAGTTTGTATAATCTGTATGTTTGTGATTTCTGAATTATGTGGCTGATTATGTCTCAAGAAGTTAACTTTTGAGAAAACATACTCAAATATTGTATTTCCAACAAACGAACCACAATTGTGGCCTATAGTTGATCAAGTGCCAATTTTCCACCTGTTATGAGAAGGGTAATTGATCATCCTAAGAAATTGAGGAACAAGGCAAATGATGAACAAAAGAACCCTCATGTGCTTTCAAGGAGACTTGCAACAATTACTTGTAAGAAGTGTGGAGAAATAGAACATAACCAAAGAAGTTGCAAGGGTAAAAGAGCTGCTGATGGAGCAATACCAA